TGAGTCAGATAACATAGTGCGAGCCATGGCTTGTAATGTTTGCCCTCTTCATTGTACAAACGAGTTATGTTGTCTGTAAGGTGCAGAACGTTCATGCTCAACACCAGCCAATTTCAGCATAGTTTGGAATCTTTTGTTAACAAACTCAGTCCCATTATCAGTAACTAAAGTAATTACTTTACTTTTCATTTTTCTCTCAGCAAACCTTAGCCAGTTAAAGAAATGTTGGAATGTTTCTGTTTTGTTTTTCATGAGATAGCAGAAACCGCATCGTGAGTAATGGTCCATTATACTCAAAACATAGCAGGCACCTCCCAAACTAGGTTTCTTAGGACCAATTATGTCAGCAAACACAACCTCTAAAGGTTCTTTGGTCTTAAACCCATTAAGTCTATTTGTTGGAGTAACCTTACTCTTCTCTTGGCTACAAGCATTACAATTTAAATACTTGCTACAGGGTTTCAATTTTACTCCCTCTGACAATTTCAACAGTTTGTTTGAGCATTTTGAAATTAATGTGCCCCAAACGTCTATGCAGTACATGTATACATTCATCATGTGGCTTAACATTGTTATAAACTGTGTTAGCCATCTTCAACTGGTCATCATGTATCACATATAAATCATTCTTTAAATTAGTAGTAACACTGTTACACTCTTTCTCTATTATACAGTTATCTCCCCTAAAGGTTACTACATAACCAAGATTAACTAAAGCCCTTACTGATAACAAATTAAATTTCAGTTTAGGTACATATAACATAGATAAATGCTCATTTATACAAGAACAATATGCAGTACCTTCACCTGATGCATTAATCTTCCATCCATTTGCCAATGATACAAGTTGTTTACTCGTAGACATTTTATAAACCTCTTTCTATCTTTAGTAATGCATTGCGATGCTTCACTATCAACAACCCACAAATCATGGTTTACAGTTGAATTGCTAGACATAGCTAAACTAACATTCTTCTTAGCCTTCTGGTGTTTGCCAATATTCTGTTGTTTTCCTTTCTTACAGAATTTAGCTATATGTCCCCTAGTCCCACAAGAAAAACATTTTCTAACAGTATAGGCAGTTGAAGATAAATCCTCTTCTTGTGGTTGTTCCTTCCTCAGTTGGTCCCTATCCAGCCGTCTTCTTGCTTCTTCTAACAATCTTCCGGTTATGTCAGTCAATGTCTGTATACAGTATTGTGTATTCACACTAACTCTCAGTTATCTGAGCCTGGTATGGCCTGGGCCCATAACCAGTGTTGAGGTAATTCCCCGCTGGGAGAATGAGTGCATACAGGGAGACGTATTGAGAGAAGTGTTGAACAATACACACACAGCACACAGATATACTGTACAGTAAATGTAGGTTTTTACTTTCAATAGCAAAGTCCAAACAAGCAGTCCAAGTCATTCACAGTTAAAGCAGTCAGTTTTCAGTCCAGGGATAATCCAATAACAAAGTCCACTGTCAAAAACAGTTCAGTAACAGACTTACATCAAATCCAGGAATAGCAGTCAATTATTAGGAACGGCAATACTCTCTAACAGAAGGAAAACAGAGACTCACTGAGACTTCTTCTGAGACTAAGACTAAGACAACCCAGGTTTCTGTCTCCATCTTATGGCCGTTTGAGAAACCACACCCAATTACACTTTTATGATTCTCTTAAAAAGACAGTATTAAAATGTCTATCCTGGTTTATATATTGTCCAACCCAAATAGCTATTAGGTGACTTATATTCCTAACAGCTGCAACCATGTGCTATACTTCCAAGAAACTGACAGGAACCAAGCAAAGATGGGAGAAAGAGGCATATGCGGTGTGATGGGCACTCCTCACTTGGAAACATTTCCTAGAAGGGAACCAAATCCCCTTTGAAGTCTGGACTGATCATAAAAATCTAGAAGCCCTGAAAACTCCACAGAAACTCTCAGGAAAACAATTAAGGTGGGCTCAATACTTTAAACGATTTAATTTCACTCTCAAATATCTCTCAGGGGGGAAAAAATTCTTGGCAGATGCCCTGTCCAGGAAAACCCAATATAACAGCAAACCGATTGAAGTTATAAAACCCATGATCCAACCAACCCAACTTGCAGCCAAAGTAATCACCTGAGAAGAAAGAATCACTGACTGACAATGCAATGACTTCAATATTTAAGGAGGCACTACTTAAGGACAACTGGCTCTAGGCTAACAAAAACATTTGCTTACTCAAAGATGGTCTAGCCTGGGTAGAAAACAAACTTTACATCCCTGCCAGCCAGAGGATGGACCTCATGAAACGATGGCACGACTCAAAAATAGGACACTTTGGTTTTGTAAAAACACTGCACTTCATCAAAAGACAATTTTGGTAGCCATCTCTCAAAAAGGACATTAAAAACTATGTTGCTAGTTGCCCCATCTGTGCTGCTGCAAAAAGAAGACAAGGAAAATCTCCTGGACTTTTACAAACAGCGGCAGAACCTTCAGCATCCTGGAGAGAGATCTCTATGGACTTTATACTAGAGCTCCCTGAAAGTGCAGGAAATACTGTCATTTGTGTTGTAACTGATCTTTTTTCAAAACAGGTTCATTTTGTACCATGCCAAAAGATCCCAACAGCCAAGGCATTGGCAAAGATGTTTCTAATACACATTTATTGCCTCCATAGAGCTCCCCAATCTCAGATAGGGGTGTACAATTCACATCCACATTTTGGCGGGCGTTTTTAAACATATTAGGCTCCAACCAGGGATTGTTGTCTTCCAATCATCCCCAGACTAATGGTGGAGCTGAACGATCTAACAGTGTATTAGAACAATATTTAAGATGCTTTATTAATTACCAATAGGACAATTGGACTGACCTTCTTCCTTTTGCAGAGGTAGCTTGCAACAACTCTGTCCACAGTAGCACTGGTTTCACCCCATTCCAGGTAGCCACAGGCCAAGAATTCAACCCCATGCCAGAACTACCCACCAAGAACCTGAAATTCCCTCCCTTAAGGAGTGGATAAACAATTTGCAAACCACTTGGCCAGTGGTCAGACTAGCCTTACAAGAGGCTAGAGCAGCTTTTAAAGCTCAGGCAGACAAAAAACATTGTGATCCTAAACCATTAAAAGTTGGTTTACAAAATTTCTAAAATCATTGCAACCTCTAAGAAACTGGGACCTAAATTCATTGGGCCATTTTCCATCTCCAGAATTATTAATCCTGTTACAGTAGAGTTCTACTTCCCAAAACACTTAGACAGGTTCATCCAGTATTTCACTGTAGCTTACTCAAACCAGAGATCACTTCAAACCTTAGACCCCCACCCTTCTCACACCTCCAACTCCCATTATGGTACATGGGGAACAACATTTTGAAATTAAAGATATCCTTGATTCGCGCACTCACTGTGGATCTGCACAATATTTAGAAGCCTGGAAACACCTTCCTTCCTCAGAAAATGAGTGGGTAGCCAAACGACATGTAAAAGTACCCACATTACTACGGAAGTTCCACCCGAAATATCCTCACAAACCATCTTAAGTTGTAAATGTGACACATGTTTTATGTCTTCCAGGTGGATTTCTCAATTTTTTGAGGAGGGCAATATGTCAGATCCGTGTATCTGCTGTTCTTCAATGGAAGAAGGGGGGGGGAGTTGGTACAAGTAGTCCTTTTTGACATAACCTGAATATCTTAAACCTTATATTGAATCTGTATAACTTGCACATGATATACAACTGGAGGACTGGAGCCAGATGTCTAGAAACTTGTCACCTCTTGGAGAGATAGCAAGAGGAGAAGAGACCATAAAAATTCCAGCTCTGGAAGACACTCCCTGGGAAACTCTTCTAAGAAATGTTCCCAGAAAAGGAGGGGGGGATTAACATGTTGTTCCTTTGTTTGACTAAATCCACATCAGAATAAGGGGAGCGGTTCTAACTCCCTTTATCTATTACTGTATGCCTGGAAGCATCTTAGATTCTGCTTTGACTAGTACCTGGATCACTTCCTTTCAATAAAGAATTCCTTTTGAAGTACCTAGCTTTCAGAAGTTCATTCTTATCAGTTGAAAGGGAAAAGTCTGGTGCTTACATTGTGTGATAGATGTACATAAACGTTTAATGCCTTCTATCTCTCTTGCCCATATTTTTAATTCCCCCCCCCCAATATTTTATTCCTCCATTGATAGCCTGCAGGGAACAATCTATTTTCATTCAAATGCAAAAAAGTGCAGCACAGGAATCCTTACTGCTTTAACATCAGTAAAAAGAAACAAAAAGTTATCTGTGAAAAATAATAAGCGTTATTTAATGAAGTATCCCTAGACTTGATACGTTATTCAAGATTATCTCAAGAAACCAATGTTTTTGGTAGATGTAATAGACTAGGAATTCATATAAAAACTTCAGTTTTAAAAGAAGCAGCCACAAAAATACTCTGCTTTATTCATAACATTCACACCATACAGAGCCATGGTGGTCAGTGGTTAGAATGCAGTACTGCAGGCTAACTCATTGCTCACTCCAGGAGTTTAATTCTAAGTAGCTCAAGATTGACTCATCCTTCCAAGGTTGGTAAAAAGAGGACCCAGATTATTGGAGGCAATATGCTGACTCTAAACTGCTTAAAGAGGACTGTGAAGCACTGTGAAGCATTATATAAGTCTAAGTGCTATTGCTATGCTATTTATCAGTTTATTATATAATCAAAATAAAAATCCATGTTCAAATAGAAGAAAAATTGTGCCACAAAAATATACTTTAATAGAATACAATAAAACCTTCCCCCCCAAAATAGAAGTATAATAAATGAAGAGGAATGTCAGACTAACCCCTCAGAACAATATAAAACATCATCTTTACAATAAATATGCATATAGATTGGCAACCTGTGCTAATAATTATATGCTAGGGAGGTATAGAGTACTGTAGGAAAAAAACCCTAATTTTTAAAGAAATAGACTAGTTATGTGCTTGCTTGTGGTGAAATGAATTTGAACACAGCATTATCTCCTTACCAAATGTCTGATTTTGTGTCATAACCCTGGTGTTGTAATGCCTCTGGGCTCATGTAGAAAGGTGTCCCAATGAAAGTGGTTGCTAAATCGCAGGATCCCATCAAGAGTCGAGAAACTCCAAAGTCCCCTTTAAAGGAAGAGTTAATATGTAGTAATCTGATAGAAAAACAACCAATGAAGTAAAAGAACTAAAACTAAGCAAAAGCTAGCTAAATACATAGTTGAAAAAATTATCAGAGGCTCCTAATAACAAATGTATAAACTGATTACACACAGTGGCTAATATCATGAATAAAGTAGTTGTCCATATTTGCCTTCCATTTACAGAATAAGCTTTTATTCCCAACAAACTACATATATTTTTTAAAAAGGGCTAGCAGTCTAGTTTTAAAATGTGTCATACTATTGTATATACAGATAGTCCTTGATTTACGACCACAATTGGGATCACAATTTCTGTTGCTAAGCAAGCCGATTGTTAAGTGAGTCATAACCAATTTTGCAACCTTTTTGTTATGGTTATTAAGCGAATCACTGCAGTTGTTAAGTGAATCATGGTCATTAAATGAATCTGACTTCCCCCATTGAGATAATGAGGATTGGTTACAAGGCACTTTTAAAGTGCTGTTATAACTTTGAACCATCACTAAATGAATAGTTGTAAGTTAAAGATTACCTGTAGTCAAATGTACCTTTATGCACATTCAGAACTTAATCATGCTTTTTTTAAAAAAAGGCAGAACGATATATAAATAGAACATAATTATTTTAAAATATTTTAAAATTGCAGCACAATTATAATGGTAGTTTATACATTATAATGGTAGCTTATACATTACTAATGGTAGCTTATACATTACTAATGGTAGCTTATACATTATTTTGTAGTGATAAATAACAATACAAGTATTAATGGAATTGTTGAAAAAAAATATGATGGAAAAACATTTTTTTTATTTAACATGTCTGTAGAGATTCTCAGTCATCCAGATCATGGTTGTCCCAAAAGTGCTTTTTCAGGAGGCAACTGGACTTTGTTGTTTTTTTTCTGTGAAGATGTTTCACTTTTCATCCAAGAAGCTTCTTCAGCTCTGACAGAATAGTGGGGAATGGCAGGATTTATATCCCTTGCAGACAGCTACTCATTTGCATTCTTAGAGGGTTGTTGAAGCACCTGGAGGTTTATCTATAGTTTACCAACTGTCTGCAAGGAATATAAATCCTTCCATTCCCCACTATCTTGTCAGAGCTGAAGAAGTTTCTTAGATGAGAAGCAAAATGTCTTCAGAAGAAAACAAACAAGAAAGTCTACTTGCCTCCTGAAAAATTCATTTAACATGCTCTCATGTAAGTTTCAGGTCCTTAACATAAGGAGAACAAAAACAACAGTAAGTTTTATATAATACGTTAAAAAACCCACAAATTGTATGATACTGTGGTATTCTTGAAAAGTAACTGCAATGATTTTGTGATACCCTGTTTCTCCAACAATATGGCCTCCCCCAATAGGAAGTCCCAGCATGTTTTATAGGCATGAAATGAAATTAAGCCCCGCCCCCCAAATTAAGGCCTATATTAAAACATGCAAAATGGGGGGAATGGTGGGGGGGCTTGCCATTAGGAAGTACTTTTGTTGCACACCCAGATATGGTGCTGCCTGCGTTGACTCCGATATGAAGTGCCCCACCAACGCCGAGGTCAACATCCAAGCCATCGCCGCCCGCCCGAAGATGCAAGGGGGGGAATTAAGTCACCCCCCAAAAAGACAGCCTAGCCATTTTTTCAGGGCTCAAAATAAAATAAGACCCGGCCTTATTATATGAGAAACACGGTAGAAATAAGCATTTGCGTGATCTCATGAAAGATTTCCTTTCCATGTACTTTGATCACTGAAGGATGTCGTGAATTAGCTAACTAAGGAACTCTAACAGTAATATTTTTATTATGCCACATGTACATGGCTTTGTACAAATTAGCCATTACAATGGCAATCTGGGAGATAATAGATAAAGAGCATTTTTCCCATACACAATAGGCATGACACAATGTTTTTACTTTTATTATATTTTGATATTTTTTTTAAAAAACACACTTATTACAAAATAAAACTATAAATTGCTAAGGTTCAGGATTAAAATAAAGAGTTTCACTGTTCTGAATATACTTCAACACTAAGATCTGACCCTAAGCTAATGTTTCATCAAAAGGAAAACACTTGGCAATCTTTGAGGAAATAAACCTGGACAGGGAAGTTATAGGTATTTCTATCTCTTGGTCTAAGCATGGACTTAGCATTCAAACATTTGTTGGGACTCTGTAACTAAAGTGTCTTTCAATTTCATCTATCTTGCCATCTCCGCCTCTCTGCATGCTCCTGGAACAATAAATAGTAACTGTTTTTTATATCAGGGGTTGCCAACCTTTTGGACCTCAGAGACCACCAAACTCATAATTTCAAATCCCGTGGACCACTAATATGAATTTTGACTGATGGTGGTTTGGTGACATTGGTGGGAAAGTCAGTTCCATATTCCAGAGCTGCAGTAGTCACAAGACTGGCCTGTGCATCGGCCTGCCATGGATGAGCTGCTCCGGGATGACCAAAGGGCCAGTCTTGTGACTACTGCAGCTCTGGAATATGGGATTGGCCCGTGGTGGGGTTGGATATCTCAACCATAAGGGCTGGCACCTGTAATGTGCAAATTTGCGGGTGGTGCAACATGTAAAAAGCAGCTCAGCTGGGGCGAAAGAGTGGAGGTCGAGGAAGACACAGGCAACAGAAAGCGGCACTTTTCAAAGGCGGCAGCTTGCGTCTTCTATTGCCTGTTCCTTCCCCGATCTCAGCTCTTTCACTCCAGCAAGAGCTGTTTCTGTTTGCTTTCTTTTCCTGTGCCTTCCCCGGACAGCGATGGCTGGGGCCATGGGGGGGGGGGCAGCAGAGATGTCAGGGCTGCTCCCCCCGCTCAGCAAGCTGGGCCTGGAGGAACGCGGAGAGTTGCGGGAGAGCGCCAGAGGGTCAGAAGATGTACTCCAATGTCTCTCGGGGAGCCCTTTTGTGTGGAGGCTAAAGGGGGGTGTCGAGCCCAGAAAAGCTTCAGTTCTCACCTGCACAAACAGTGATGAGGCAAACTATGGGGCTTCCAAGGCGCATAGCTCAATCCAACCAGGAGTTCCCATTGGTCCCGCAATAAGCCGGCAGCGAAGGTTGGATGCCCAGACCAAAAGAACGCCAAGGTAGACTACTAACTAGGCAACACCCCCCCCTTTCGATCTCCACACAAGAGGACTCTCCAAAGCTAAGCTCCAGGTTTCTCCCGCCGCTTCCAAGCAGAGAAGGGTCCCTCCCTCCAGGCCTTGAAGCCTCTCCCCAGAGCACACACATGCTGGGCTCTCCCCACGGCGTGAGGGCATCTCTTGAGGAGGCCCCCATCCACCCACCCACCAGCAGCGAGCCCAGGTCGGAAGAAGAGAAAGGGGTTCCAGGGACCTGGCGATTGTGCTGCGCCCCACCCTTAGCAGAGCAGAGCACCGAGAGGGATGAGAAAACTGACGACAATGACACCCCTCCCATGCTGGGCCTCTGAACTGGATGCTGAGCGCAGACATGCCCACTCCACCCCCTCCCACCACCAGCAGCCAGTAGTTTTTCTGCCCTGGGAAGTCCCTACAACTCATGGCCATCGAGGAAGAGCCCAGGCCAGGAGAGGTGAGCTGGAAGGTGCAGGAGTGCCGTGCAAATGCAAGTAGCGTGGTGATCCTGCACCTTCCGGCCATCTCCATCACTGCTTCAGCCCATCTGTGCCACCAACCCCCTCTTGCTGCAACAGTACCATTATCTCGTCCTGGCTGGCGAGGGCTGAACTGCTTTTTGCAGGTTTGCGCTCGGCTGAAGAGTGGGGGCCAGCGGGTAGGCAGACTATGTGGACAGCGCAGCCTTGTTTTCCCGCGCAGCCTGGATTAATTGCTTTGGGGGTGTGTGCTTTGGGGGGACATTTCTCTGTGGACCAACAAAATTTTCTCATGGACCACCAGTGAGCTGTGGCCCACTGGTTGGTGACCACTGGTTTATATCTTACCAATTTTAACCAGATTATTTTTCAAAAAAATATTCTTAGCTTTCAAATCTCGATGAAGTATTTGCCTGAAAGTAAAAAAGAAAACATTGTTCCAGTGATAAAAGAAAAAATAATTTGTTATTGTAATAAATGTGTCTTGTTATAAAACTTAAACATGTCCCTAACTGCATTAATATCATTGCTTTTGGGACTGCAATCCTGAATGCATTAATTAGCACCTAAGTCAATTTTTTATTTTGAATAATATTAATATCAAAGTTTTTTCCAAATAAATGGACAAAGGACAGGCATAAAGTAGATACTGTACATGAAGGGCTGCAGGTCAAACTTTCTTTCTGATAACATCAAGAAAACGATAAAGATTTTTAAAAATATTTTAGCAATTCTGATTGAAAATGAATCAAAAAGTGTCTTATAGATATTGTTTGTCTTTTGCACAAGGAAAGCTGGTTTTGGGAAATTTAGTATATGATTAAAAATATCTTACAAAAGAACGAGTCCTTGGTTAATGACAGATCAGAATTTTCATTGCTAAGCAATATTGTTGTGAAGCATGACATTACATGCTACATCACTTAGCAATGTCAATCCCAGCACATTTGGTTACCATTGTTAAGTAAAGCTCATTGATTTTTAAGCAAGTCCCAAGTGGTTGCAACAAGCGAACAGGCAGGTAAGGCATAGTGCACAGTACGAGCACATGACTGGCTGTTCCTGGGTGGTGAAGAATTTGTAAATGTACCATGAGTCATGGCATGAGTGTGGCAGGGGTAACTGCTAATAGGTGGGTGCATCAGTGGCCCACAAGGCACAGCATGAACATGGCAGAGCAAGGGATGGCTCACTGTGCACACAAAGAGGTTTTAAATCATCCTCTCACTTAAACGATGACATTTTTTTACTGTGTTACTGTTTTTTAGTCACCAGTTCCCAGGTACCTGATTTATACCTAAATCACATTGATTTGGGATGAGAGGAAATCATATTCTGAGTGTGTATTGCAGTTGTTAGCAACATTTGCAATTGATATTTGCAAACATACTAACTGTAGGTATATTTATGATCTGGACTGATAGCCCTATTCAAGAAAGCCTCCTTTAGAAGTCAATATTATGTCAGTATGGAGAAAGCTCAATTATTTTTACACAGTGTAAATCAGGCTTCTCCAACCCGTGGCCCGCGGGCCGCATGCGGCCCAGGTCGCCTTGTAATGCGGCCCAGTGCCCACCCCAACCTTCTGGCAAGAGCCAGCAAGGAGGAGGAGGAGAGGCAGGCGCGAGGCGGGGCGAGGCGAGCGCCACGCCAAGCAGCAACAGAAAAGGCGGGCGCCGCCTTTGCTGCTTCTGCCCCCGCTGCCGCTGCCGCTGCTGCTTCTGCCCCGCCATCGCCGCCACTTCTGCCCCCGCTGCCGCCGCCACATCTGCCCCCGCCCCCGCTGCTTCTGCCCCCGCCGCCACTGCCACTTCTGCCCCCACTGCCGCTGCTGCCCCCGCCGCTGCTTCTGCCCCCACCACTGCCGCTTCTGCCCCCGCTGCCGCTGCTGCCCCTGCCGCCGCCACTTCTGCCCCCGCCGTCGCCACCGCCGCTGCCCCTGCCGCCGTCGCTTCTGCCCCCGCCGCCGCTGCCCCGAGCCTCCCAGTCCTTGCCTTCCAGTCCTGCCGCATCCAGCTGGGCCATTTGCAGGAGGAGAGGTAGGCGCGAGGCGGGCGACCTTTCTTCCCCCCCTCCCCCTCACCCCGCAAAATTTGGCCGGAAAATTAATAAAAAATAAATAATTTTTAATAAATAATTAATAATAAATAATAAAAATAATTTATTATTTATTATATAATTTTATAATATAATTATTTTATAATAATTTATTATATGTGCGGCCCAAACCAAATTTTCATCTTCTAATGTGGCCCAGGGAAGGTGAAAGGTTGGACACCCCTGGTGTAAATGAATGCTGTATATGAAGGAAATATCTATTTCTTCCTGTTTGGACAATGAAATATTTTCACTTTCCTAATAATAGTGAGACATAAGAGAAAATTTCACATTTGGAAAATAGTTTGCATGTTTACATTAGCTTTCTTAGGAAATAAGCCAAAATTTTCTTTCAATATATTTTCTATCTCATCTTTGCAGAAACAATAGTGAGATTTAAAATGGCAAACTTTGGAAAATATATTATTTAAAAGGGGCACTCACTTTAGCTACATATTAATAATCCAAAGTCAGATAGCTGGACAGAATTTCATATTAGAGATAAATACCTATTCCACAAGCTTTTAAAGTCAGCTTGTGTCAGCAATCTCTATGCTCTATATCAGCAATCTAATAATGGAAACATAGCTTCAATTTATCGAATGACAAATGAAACTGCTGTACCTTTCGTGTAGGTAGTTTACTCCAAGTAATAATTGTATAAACCATTCTACTATTTGACTTTCAGGAAATCCTTTGCCACTTCTTTTGTACTCTTGAATTTTAAAGTCGAGGTCTTGACCCTGAAACACAGGAGCAAATGTCCATCTGATGAAAGCATTACATCTTAATTCATTAAAATTAGTGAAAAGGAAATTATTGAAAACAACCAGAGCATCTTCTATTGTTTTTACTAATAAATATTAATTTACATTTATATATCTGTTTTAATTCCATGAATGCTCTGTGCAATTCAGAAGCCTAGCGTGAGGACCTAGATAGCTTCTAAAGCTAATGCACTGTATATAGTCATGATGTGCAAAGATCTGTGAGTTCAATTCCCAGCTGAAGGCTTGAACTCCATGGTGTTAACATCTGGCTACCCACAACTGATGAATGCCAATGATGAAATCAGTCATATAGTGCGTTCTTATAAAAATAGGAAGGGCTTTGGAAAAACAGATTACAGTAATGGAACTTTTTGGCACAGAACAGATATCCATTTTTTTTAATGTGTAAAACTGCTGCTTTTAATTTGGGCAAGACAGAGTAACCCTATAATCAGCTATTGATTAAAGTATTCTGAGGTGATCATAATATCCATAGACCTGCCAACTTACTGCAGCCTCGTCATATAAATAGAATTTTTAAATTTTCTGCCCTACTGATTCTGGGGGTTGGAGGAGAGAAATATATAATTACTAAAGCTTAGAAGCAAACTACAGTTTTCACTGGCAAAGCATGCTGATTCCTGTAGTTCCTCACACTCTCAGCAAACACAGCACTATCTTTAACTAATTGAAGAGGAAGGAAGCTTAGTCATTAAAACAATTGCTTTACAGTTAATTGACATTGACCTCATGCATTCAGGCTGTCAGCATATAAAATTCAATTCTAAGTTCAGAAAAATACCAATTTACTTTACATAAACTTTCTATAACTGTTTGGTTACTTACATTCTTGAAGAACATAAAGTACAAACCTAAGGGAACCAGAAGCTCCCATAAAGATACACTTAGTTTTTTAGTGACAATATCTCAGCCAGCTCATTTTCTAAAGTTGCACTGGATTGTCTCATGAGATTCTCTTAGGAAATTAATCTTGAGATTCTCTTAGCAAATTACCGTAATAAGAATCCTGAAACAATATTGGGGTGGGGGAGACAGCATCCTTAAAACCTCTTAAGGACATTTATTTAACAGCTCTTAAGAAAAATAGTACAAAGTCTTACCTCACAGTATTCAGTAATGATGCAAAAACTCCCTCCTTCAACAAAACTTGTATAGAATTTAACAATGGCTGGATGGTCTAGCCTGGACAACAATTGTGCTTCCAAATTTGCTTCAACTGTTTCATTGGGCTTAAGATTCCCCACAGAGATTTCTTTCAAAACTTTCCTTTTGATAAAATCAGTAAATCGTAAGATAAGATACTTGTACAACAGCTCTTTTTTCTAATCTGGCATTTTTAAACAGAGAATATAAATTTCATTCATACACATTTCAATATTTTTGATGTTTTCTTTCTATTTGGTGCTTTTATGGACTTTATTTGTGGTGATTTTGGGGATAGAAAGTAACTGTATGTCACCAATAAGGTTAGGCAAGTGCTACTGAAGCATTTCTAACATTCTGTGCCTTTAATTTAAAATTTCCTATTTAGGACTATGTTACTGGGGGCTTTTTGTTTTCCTTAATGTTGCCTGCATTAAAATGGCAACAAGTGGCAGAGTAAAAAAATAGAAGCAAGCATGTAGGCTTTAAATATTGTAATGTAAGAGAAGCCATCAAAGATAAATCGATTAGCTTGCTTCACTGTGCGTCAGAAGACAATCTGGCTGACATAGTGACTAAGCCATTGGGTGGAGTCAGGGTTGCGATTCAAATTTTTTAACAACCAGTTCTGTGGACGTGGTTTAGTTGGTGGGCATGGCTTGGTGGTCATGTGATTGGGTGGGTGTGGCCAACCCGGCATCACTCACATCAAGGGGCGCTTCTCCTTGCCTGGCTTCTCATGACAGTGAGGATGCTGCAACAGTCATAAGTGTGAAAAACAGTCATAAATCACTTTTTTCAGTGCCATTGTAAGTTCGAATGGTCACCAGTTTTAGACCAAAACTCAAAAAGGGTATGTAAACTCATGTTTGAATGTCAATCTTTCTAGCTAGCCAAGAAGCCTTGCTGAATGTCACTCATCTTGGTTCCTTTTTATTAAAAGCTTCTTTCTGGCTAACTCCAACAGGGAAGTATTTCCTCCCAACAGCAGTGTAAAAAGCTTAAAACAACCCTTCCCCTTTAAGAAAGTACCAGGAAAGAAAGAAAAAAAAAACCTCCTTCGGAGACAGTAAGTCTAGGCATACTGCCAAGAATGTAAGAAGGGTGGAAAAGAACAAAAGGAGATTTCTTCCAACAACCGGTTCTCTGAACTGCTTAGAAAGTTAACAACCGGTTCTAGCGAATGGGTGAGAACTGGTAGTATCCCACCCCTGGGTGGAGTGAATATTAAGTTAATTGGATTTATTTCTATTCCAGTTATGAAGGGAGGGGTGTCATAATATTCATGAACTGGAATAGATCTTAGTAATAAAGTCAGCCAATTAATAGGCATGGCAACAGACCAGCCAATGAGAGCTGAATTGGAAAGTGAAACTAGAAGTGGTCTGGCTGTGGCTCTAATCTCTGCTCTGAACTCTGAAGCTGTTGCTTGTGTTTTGATTGTAACTCTCTACTAGGTTGGAAGAATCTACTTTGGTATTGTACATTTACTCATTTAAAAGGTATATAAAGAAGTTAATGAATGCTGCTGAATCAGTCATCTGTGTGTGCTTTCTGGATATGAATTTCTGCTGCACATTGTAACAAAGGGCTTGCCACATATTTTGATATATAACTTGCATAAAATATATATTTTCTGCATTCATACTCTAGAAATTATACTCAAATTTTATTGGTGTGACCAGAAATTGTACTACATAAATAATTGAAGGACATTATTGTCATCAAGATGGCATACTGATAAACGTAAATAAAAGTAAATTATTACTTGAACACTAAGCCCTATCTAACAAAATGAAATTCAATGTAGAGAATGTAAGGTTTACACAGGCAAGAAAAATCAAATGTAGAGATACACATTAGGCGAAACTGGGCTCAACAGCAGTAACTGTGAGAGGGGTCTTGTAGGACTAACACTTAATTACTTAAATATGATCCAGCAGTGTGTGGCAGCAACCAAAAAAAAAGCAACACAATCCTAGGTTGCATTAACATTGAGATAGAATCAAGACCATGTGAAGTATTAATATTGCTTTATTAAGACTTAATAAGACCACACTTAGGATACTGCACTCAGTTTTGGTCACCATATTATAAAAAAGATGTAAAGATTCTGGAAACAGTACAGAAAAGAGCAACAAAGATGATTAGGAGGCTAAAACATATGAAGAATGGTTACAGGAATTGGGTATGTCAAGTAGTGAAAAGAAGGACTAGCGCTAGGTTGACATGACAACAATGTTTCCATATTTGAGGGGCTGCCACAAAGAAGAGGGTCACCCTATTTTTCAAAGCATCAGAAGGCAAGACAAGAAACAATGGATGGAAATTAATCAAGAAGAGAAGCAACCTAGAATTAAGGAGAAATCTTCTGACATTGAGAATAGTTTTCCAATGGAATAGCTTTCCTACAGAAGTAGTAGGTGTTCTATCAATAGAGATGTTAAAAAAGATATTAGACAGCCACTTGTCTGGAATCTATAGGATTTCCTGCTTGAGCAGGGGGTTAGAGTAGACCTCCAAGGTCTCTTTCACCTTTGTTATTCTGTTCTTACTATTGATGATGATGATAATTTTTAATTGAAGTTATACAAAACACTTTTCACATATTTTAAAATGGGAATTCAGAATTTTTATATTGAATAAATAAAAATTGTATGCCTGTATTCAATAGCAAACCTTTCCATGCATTTTAATCAATAAGATACTAAAAATATATTATGGCTTTATATTAGAGCTTGATACAAGAAAACACTGTATACTGTAATAAGGTTTTAGATGAGCACAGCTAAACATTTTCAGTACAATTTGAGTAAATCAGAGGGTCTAAACAGTATGAAGAGAACACTGCAACTGATATTCACAATAATAAAAATTCATATTCTGTAAAGAAAAGGGAAGCTACAGTATTTGTTTTCAGGGAGTAAACAATAAATCCTTTTAAACTATCTTTTCATAAACACTGCTACCTGGCAATATGTACATGAACATTTTTGTACATACCATTTGCTAAAACTTACCTATACATAAGATAATAATAAAATACAGAATATAGTTTTCTGAATTACTGCAAACTTTCTGCTATTAAAATAGATAATATTTAAAGTAATGTTCTCATCTTTGATTTGACAGCATGACATTGTTTTTTTCCTGCTTACAGATCATGTCACTAAACTGTCAAAAACAATGAGCTTTCCTTAAATATCTCTTAATAGAAAATCTTTATGCATCAAAAGGCAGCAATAATATCTTGACATCGCAGAACAGCTTGTCCTTTACTTCACTCTGATTTCACTATTGCCATCACCTGTCAAGCCATGATATATATTTATCTTATTAAAATTCTATCACTAGATGGCAAATGAAAAATTTGTACACTTATAAATTAGATAAGAGATAACCTGTATTTTTATTATTAAAATCATAGCTAGTCTTTTCACTAACTGAAAGTTTTTACAGAATACTAGAATTGTTGCAGGAAAAATGAATAAAATGGATTTAAAACATTTAAATATTTTTTCCATCTTCTGCAAAGAGGTTTTTACTTTCCCCTTTTGAAATATTTATTTAGAAAAATTTAGACTGAGGGGCAAATAACATGGGTATTGTTATTTGTTAACTACTATAATTACCTTGTATTTTATTTTTTATTTTTTTAAATAAATTTATTTATTCAATGTCTTGACAATTAAAAACAAATTTCCACATTTTACAACATTACTTATAGCAGTGTTTACATTTGTAAGTGTTTTCTATTATCGTGTTATTCATCTCTGTATTTGCTTCTTTGTTATTCTAGCATTTTATACATATATACATTTGTATTTACATTTATTTACACGTAAACCTTATTGTTTTATGCTATTACATACATTATCATTTTATGTCTTTTTCTTGTCCATTCGTACCAATTTTATAGTATTCTCCTTCCTTATTCTTCAATAACTTCGTCAATCTGTCCATCTCTGCGCATTCATATACCTTGTTAATTATTGCGGCTTCTTGGGGGGTGGGTCATAGCCTGTTTCCAATTTTGGGCAAAGGAGATTCTGGCAGCCATTATGATATGGAGCATTAAATATTGGTGTTTTCTATTCATATTAGGTTCTAACATGCCTAACAAGAAGATTTCTGGTTTAAATTTAATTCTCTGTTTTGTTATTTCCTACTATGATTTGATTTTTCGCCAATATCTCCATGCATGGGGGCACGTCCACCACATGTGGAAATATGTTCCCTGCTTATGGTTACATCTCCAACATTTAGCTATCATATTTGGGAACATTTTGGCTATTCTCGCTGGAGGGAGGTGGTGCCAGCAGTAAAACATTTTATATATGTTCTCTTTGTAGGAGACCGACAATGTTAACTTATAGTTTACCTGCCAAATACATTCCCACTGTTCCAAATCAATGCTATGGCCCACATTTTTGGCCCAGGTTATCATACTTTCTTTAACAATTTCCTCTTTCATTTTATAATCCAATGGGTAATTATATATCTTGCTAATCATTTTTTTCCACCCCTTGTAGTATTTTATCTAACTCTTGTTGAGTTATATAAAAACCAAATTGCTCCTTGTCCTTTTTGTATTGTGTTTGAACCTGCAAATAAGGCCACCATCCTATTTCAATTCCCTGGTATTCTAATTGGCTCTGTGTTTTTAATTCCCCCTTTTCATTTAACAGATTTCTATGTTTTATCATTTTGTTGAAATCTAGAGCATTGGGATATATTAGTGCTTCCATTGTTGATAACCATAACAGCACCTTCGCATAATGGTTCTTTTTTAGTTTCTCCCATATAGATAGCAGAGTATCTCTCCCCCAATGGAAATAGGCATGATATTTACTTTGCCCATCCCAAAGAAACACATGCCAGCCAAGTTGTAGGTCGTAATCCTCTATCGTTAATATTCTTTTATCTGTTAAATTAATCCAATCCTTAATCCATGTAGTTATTGCCGCCTGATAATATAATTGAAAGTCTGGGAGATCAAATCCTCCCTTGCTTCTACTATCTTGCAATAATTTATATTTTATTCTAGCTTTTTTCTTCTGCCAAATAAATTTCTATATTTTTTATTTAGGTTCTCAAAAAAGTTCCTTCCTAGTTTGACTGGC